GCAAGAGGGAAGAGATATGGGAACATATGTATATGTATAACTGATTCACTTTGTTATAAAGCAAAACTAACACACCATTGTAAAGCAATTATACCCCAATAAAGATGTAAAAAAAAAAAAGAATATAGTATGTTTGTGTATTGCAGGGGGAGTTTAAAAATGATTCACATGTCATTCATGCCTCAGCAGGCAGAGTCACCACAACATGACCTACTTAAAACTGGAAGAGAGGTAATAATCTGTCAGAAAATCAAGTAAATAATGGGGTGTAGATTTTTGGTTTGGGTTTGTCTTAGGTTTTCAGGTATCCCACAGTAATAGGCACAGACCAGAACCTGTCCTGTTTGGAAGTTGTGTAAATCCCAAGCTGAGTCAAGCATGGAGCTGTGTTGGAGCTGAGGGCTATCTATGTCTGGTCAGAGTGGCTGAGCAATGTCCATGAGTTCCCTCTGAGGGTGGGATTCCTGGTACAGGGCAAATTGCAGAAGAGTTCTGGAGCACAGGAGCCAGTGTGCAGCCACAGATTATCACGGGGTCTCAGAAAGGTCCAAGGCCACTCACTGGTTGAACCCTCAAATAAGGAATAAAGCAGCTGGACTTAAGTGAAAAAAAAATGAGATCAAGCATTGAGTAGGAGAAACATTTTCTTAAAATGGAAATTGTATTTCAAAATTACCTCATGTGGGGGAAAAGCTGCTATATATGAGCCATTGTTTATAAGTTTACAGATACCTGGAAAAAGAAGAAAAGAACAGTTCTTGAGTTAAATTGAAGACTTCCCTCTGAAGCAACCTACATAATACTTGGGAAAATAAATTAATTTAAAAACAAAATAACCCAAATGACTTCCATAGCCTTATCACCTATGAGGACAGTGAGGTTGTGAAAGAGACTGATTCTAAGAGTCTAATTGTGTCCTTACAAGATTAATAAAGGGTTTGCAAGGTGCCAACATATGGCACTTTGCCATATCATGAAATGTGGGGATTTTAATACCCACTTAGTTGGGGGCACATGAGCCTGGAACAACTCTTTTTTTTAACTCAAAACAAAATTTGGTCAAGGAAGCAGAGGAATTCCCCACTCCTCAAAATGTCTCAAAGGAGATTGGTATTGAGAAATCTTTAATTCTTTAATACTGATCCAAAGAGAATAAATAGCGATATGTGACCCTTCTTAAAATCTCTCCATCCCAATGAGAGTGTAGTGAAATGGACTGTCTCATATAGTACTGGGAAGACTAGATATTTGGAAAACTCTTCTGAAGAGCAATTTTCATTGCAATATTATTTATATTAGTAAAGAATTAGAAATAATTATACATCCAAAATTGGTTAATTGTTTCATTATTATGGTTCAATCAGTTATATGTGCTTGGTAAATGACTGTGATTTGATGAATGCTTACAATAGAATATTGTACAGCTATTTAAAATAATGTTTTCAGACATACTAAAGGGCTTGAGAAAGTACTCATAATGGTAATTTCAAAAAGGATAGAAAATTGTAAACATTGCATGCTTCTAATTATGAGATGTATATGTATATATATTCAGTTCTAATTTGGTACAGTGAAAATTGAATGTAGGGATTTTAAAATTTTATTTTTATACCCTTCTGTGTTTATTGCATGTTTGACAAAGGGCATGATATCATTACAATCATTTAAATGTCAATTTTATTTTTTAAAGTCTACATAAGCACATAGTGCTATCATTTAGACACATTTGCAGTTTACATTCTGGATTTCTCTATCTTTATTTCTTGTTTAGAAAACTTCTGATTAAGCGTCAAATTTTTTATAAGGATTTAGTTTTTGAATTAATTATTTTGACTGCTCAGTAATAAATGAATTATTAATCAGAAGAGAACCAAAGTCTGAACATTCCTCTTTGGATGACTTGAAACATAGCTCATTTTACTAATATGGTAATCTATTTGAATGCAAATCAGTACATATTAGTACAAGTTTCCACTGGCTATCAACTTTTTTATTTGAAGGAATTTTAGAACATGACTAACATTTTATTTCTTCAGCCATATTGTATTTTTCACACTAACAAATGGCCAGCTCATTTGTTACCTGTTGTTTTCTGCTCTGCTCTGTGTAAACTTTTCAATTTTACTTAATTTTCCCAGGTGAAACTTTCTGTTTTCTTTTGCATCAGACATGTTGTAGCATACTGCTAAACATTCAAACAACAGAGACATTTAGAAATTTAAAATTAGCTGTAATCTCACCTCTCAGAGATAATGTCTAAAATATTTCATATAAATTCTAGATTTTTTTCTTTTTTTTTTTGTGAGTGTTTAGAAAATGGGATCACACATTAAATTTTCAGTTTTGTAATCTGTTTTTTTTCCACTTAATAATGCTTTATGGATATCTTCTGAAGTCAATAATTAGAGAACTGATACTAATTTTCAATCTCCATGAGTAAAGGGTCTGTGTCATATATTTTCCATAATATATAGTGTATATACATTTGAGTATATACATTTATTTGAGTATTTATACATACATAGTGTATGAATACATTTGAGTTAAGAGTGAATAAAATCACATCATTTTTAATGGATACATTATGTGCATATAGCCTAATGGACAGCTAAAGTATCTCCAGTATTATTCTATTCTATTCTTTGTCTACAAAGCCACAATGAACAAATATCTACATACATTGTTATTCAAAAGTCTGATTATTTCTTTCAGATAAATTTCTAGAAATAAAGTTTCTGCTCCAAAGTTCTTACACATTTCACATTTTGATACACATTGCCAAGTGCCCTTGAAAAAGTTTTTTGTTTGTTTTATTTTGTTTTATTTCATTGAAAGGCTGAAAATACAATGTTTAGAATTTGTTCACTGCATTATATCCTCATATCTAATGCAGGAAGGCAAAGCTTCAGTTGTTAAAAAATATTTCTGAGTGTAATCAGTAAAAGTAAATTCCATAGTATGTTTTTAATTAGTGTTCTTACCCACTTTTGATATTCCATTTTCATATTTGGTGTGCTGCAGCATGTGATAGACTATCCTGCTTCGAGTAGCATTGCTAAAGAAGGTGTCCTTATTGTTTATTATGAAGCTGGGAAGATAAGCGGATTGGTTTTAATATTCAATGCAGACCACAGAATCTAGCAACAGTTACAAGTTCCTGGGTAGTCATCCATGTATTTTCTCCATTAAAATGAATGCATGTAAAGTATAATAAATCAGAAGAGAAACCATTCTTCTTAAAATAAAATCATTTGGCTGAGAAAATATACACTTATAAATAATACAGGGCATTATCAAATATTCATTTTAATATCCTTCAGTTTATAAGGAAGCCTAAATGTCCTCATATTTCTTATTGAGCATGGAACAAGAACAGATTGTCTGTTGGCTCCCATAAATTTTGTACTACCTTAAGCAATGTGGTTCCAAATGGAACACATTAAAAATTGATGTCATTCCCTAATACTGCATTTTCCGAGCTAGCTTGTTTTCAGTACTTCAGCGACAAGCAATGTTTCTCCCTTCCCCTTCATATCCTACTGTTCCATTGTAGGAAGAGTTGTATGGAGTAAACATGACAGCCAATGATCTAAAGAGCAAAAGGGTGACTTCAAGAGGTGGTGGGAGGTGGGAGGGGTGTTCCCTGGCACGGTCCAGTGGTTAAGACTCCACGCTTTCACTGCCAAGGACCTGGGTTCAATCCCTGGTCGGGGAACTAAGATCCCACAAGGCATGGCCAAAAAAATTAAATAACTAAAAAATAATTTAAAAAAAGAGGTGATGGGAGAAAAGAGATGGGAACTCACTGGTGAATTCGTGCACGGCTGAAGGGGCCAGTATAGCAGTCTGACTCCTCCAGGTCTGGGAAAGCTGACTTGTCAAGAACCATGGGGTTTTGGGACATCCATTTTTTGATTCTTCTAAAATATTTTTGCACCCTGGAACAAAGTCACATTTTAGAACTGAATTAGGTTGCACTCCAGAGCCATGCCTACCTTCCACTACCGTTCTGAAAGATTCCCAAAAGACATACACACACCCACATTCACACACACATACATGCATTATTCCTGTACCCACACAAAGGAAATAATTCCAAAGCAAACCAAATCTTGCATTTATTTAAACTCTTGCAGGGCAACTAGGTGATCCTCATAAGAAAAATCTGTGGAAAATATTAGAAAATCATCATACATAAAGATGGGGTAGGAAAAAGCATAAAGAATAAAACCAGCAAGACTGTTTATTAAAGTTGAGTGTATGTATATATCTATATCTATATCTATATATGTGTGGCTATAGATCACTTTAAAAACTCTATAGCAATGTGGCTCCAGAAAAGTGGAGACTGAAAAGAAAGAAATGGCTACAATGCACTCAACGCATTCAGTTCTGGGAGCCACAGGTCCTATGGTAACAGCAAGGGTTTCGGGTCAAGAAAAACTGGGTTCAAAGGCAGCTCTGCATTATAGTAACTATGGAAACTTGTATAAGTTATTTAATTTCTTGCCTTGGTTTCCTCACCCATAAAATAAAAGTAATAATATTGACATTGCTGGAGAGTTGTGAGTTGGTGTTTTACATTAAACTTGATGATTAACAGTAAGGAGAGTTGAGTCAAGGAGTCTTTGCGGTACTTTTAAGACTTTAACGGGCATGTAAATCACCTGAAGATCTTGTTAAAATGCAGATACTAATTCAGTAGACTTAGGGTGGAGTCTGAGATTCTGCATTTCTAACTAGTTCCCAGGGGTGCTCATCCTGCTATCCACTGACTGCGCTTTGAGGGGTGGATTTAGCATAGACTCCAGGTTAGAGAACATTGAAACACTGTTTCAGGAAATCTCACATCAGGATACTTTGGCCTCAGCTTTAGATTACAGTCACAACTCAGTCCTATGTGGTATATATACTGATTGGAATCATATTTATTTTTCAAAAGACAAAAATGAAAGCAAAAGAGATACTGACTCCAGAGATCGATTCTGAAAATGAGATTCTGAGTTGCTATAATAACAGCTGTGTTTACTTAAAAAATGTGCTACATTTACACACTATTTATGAGGTTCTATCTTTGGCAGTTTTTGGACTTCTTCTGCAATAGTGAGTCAAAGTGGCAGGATATAATATTTTCCTAGAGAAGTACAATGCATCTTAATATTTGGCCACCTCTGCTTAAACTTTAAAAAATTTAGCACAGCCATGTGCAGGCAGACTCTATCTTAAAAATGATTTCATTCAAGTTTATTATGGTAAAATTACCATGTCTATATAATTTGAAATAAGCATCAAGTTTTGATTTTTAGCATGTGAAGAGTTTGGACATTTTCTTTGCCAAGTAATGTTATCATTTAGATGCCAAGTCTTTTTTGGTTTTGGAGGGACCAGAGCATTTCTTTCTAGCCTAATATAATAAATGAGTGTTATCTGAAGTGTCCATTTTGCTTCTTCTTATTACAAAGAAAGCCTCTGAAATCACAAAATATCGCTGTATTCCAGCCACTAGTGCACAGACACGTAAAAACACTGAATGGATTATATAGCAATTACTCCAACTTTTCAAAGTTAGCCTAGTGGAGAAAACAATGGGATAAAAAATTAGAGGATGAATTTGCCAGTCATTGAAATTGAGCCAAACATTTTCAATCTTTGAGCTTTAGGTTCCTCATCTGTAAAGAGAGAAAGTAATTCCATCTGTCCTACTTCATTAGGTGGCTAGGAGGATCAAATAAAAGGAGGCATCTGATGACACTTAGAAAATGCTGATAGCTATAGCACCCAAGGGCTTACTATCTCTGACAAAATTGCAAACATACTAGAAATAAATGCCAATCAAAAAAATTAAAGAAATGAAATAAAATGACTTTTAGACCATCATTGACCTTTTACAGAAAAATAAACCATATTATCAGTTTAGGCTTTTCACATACTTTCTGTGAAGGAATACATGATGTCTAATAGTGAAATGTGGTCAGGGCTGGATCTGAATCACAGGATGTGAAGATCTAGCTTATTATTTAATTTCTTTGATTCTCATTCAGTTTTCTCATCTCTTAAATGAAGGGATATTCTGATAATTAAATAGGTAATGACTGATCCCACAGTGCCCAGCACAAAGTAAACACTCAATAAATATTTATGATAATAATAAGGAAAAGGAGTATCACTACGACTTTTACAACCACCACTACCACCACCATGCCACCAACATGATCTAATGTATTACCTACACTCTACCAAACTTTTATCATGTTAGCAGTCTTGCAAACTCAAGATTTCATGGCATAATGTGAGGATGACTTCTAACAGAGCTTTAAATTCCTTTGCTAAAATCAGTGGAATGCAGAGAATTCAATGGAAATTGAAAAGAAATCTGGATTAAAGGGTCAAAAGAACGTGGTCAGAGCACAAACTCTATCACACCAGCTGTGAAAGCTAGGGGATGAGATGTGGGGTGGTAAGGAGTGGTGATAATGGAGTCATTTATTTTCCCTGATCTGCAAACCAGTTACTCTTTGTTCTGCCCCCCTGAATGGTCCTTTTGAAGATGCTTTGATAATTGAATATGAAAGTACTTTGTAAGCTAATGATAGATAGCAGCAATAATAAAACTATAGGCATTTCCTTTTGACCTGCCTGGAGAAACGATGATCTTTGAAACTTGGATAATTGCCTGTACATATTTACCCCTAATGTTTACTGGTCAAATTACCCATGCACAAAACATCTTTCCCACGTCAGGAAATGGAAAGCACAAGTGACATCTAAGTACACACATTAGACTTTTGCTTCCCTCTTTCCAATTGTCTAAAAATTGGGTTTTATAATTTTATAACAGTGATGCCCATACATACACACACACAACATTAAAATTTTCTTTTCCAAAGGTCAAGTTTAAAAAAATCAAAATCAGTCATTTCCTTAATTGAAAGTATAGAGTCAGGCAATACCAAGACAGTCATTTTTTCAGTTTAATATGTCATATAATTTTATAAATACCTTTCCTATTTATTTGTTACCCTCTCCATATGCATCCACTAACTCAAAGAACAAAGAGAACTATTTGTAATATGTAAACTGTAAAGCAGTAGACTATAGTAATGCTTAAGGTACATTAACAATTGTTTGGAATAACTGACAACCTTATTTTCATTTCATAAAATTAAACAAAAAATAATAAACACAAAGATAATAAAACACATTATGACACATAATATCGCATTCATTCTTCTACTTTACTTTTGTTTGACCAAAATAGTAAAGAAAAACATTTTTCCACTATTAAAAATGTTTCTTTAGGATTTAGAATATACATATTTATCAGGAATTCTAAATACAAGTTTACTCTAAAATTAAATTATGACAGTATTACATAGACATTGGTTGCCAATTTAATATACAGGATTTTGTCCTTCTGTGAGTCTCTGAAAGGAAGATGCCTATTTAGCAGAAAACACACTAATTATACAGTGGCAAATCTCACTAATTCTATACAGCACCCAGAAGCAAACCTAAACATGTTTTATCAACACATCCAATATTAAACAGGCACATGCAGAGAAAAATATGGAAAACCTGAGGTTGTAAATTTATATATTATAATATTCCAATGAATTTGACCTTATTATGTAAAAATAACTTTGGAAATTTGTTTATATAGACCAGGAACGAATGAGCACAAGAGAAATGATGAAAGCTCATTGTAAATCTGAGCATGTCAACCTGACAAACAGAGGAATCCGACTGGCTAAGGAACGTCATTAATTTTTTAAGAGCCATTTGAGTACTAATTCCTTTAGCATTCATTCAGATTTCAAGTTTTCCCCCTCATGATTTCCTTTTCTTGTCACTCATTCCTAACAGCCTAAATTTAATGTTTAATAGAGTACAATACTCTCTTCTAGAATCAAAATTTTCCTATTTTAGAGTTCTAAATTATATTCAGACATTTTCTTTGGTAAAAGAACTAGATTTATTAAATTCTCTCCTAAAATGGTCAGATATTTACACTATGATTTTGCTAGTTTTTGTGTCATTCTGATTTGCAATATCCTGCAACATTATTCAATAGGGCCTCCTCTACGACATTCACATTCTATTTTTGTTAACTGATTGTTTTGCAAGGAGCAGAAAAACAGCAAATTATTACAAGCCTTTTGTTTGTAGAGTTCATTAAATGGAAGCTCATTTTCTCCAGTGAAACGGGGTCAAGGCAATTCAGGTGGGAGAGTTTCTTGTGTCTCAGGGTTGTATTTTAATTAATTCCTTTGCCATAGCTACTGTTACCACATAGGTAAAGAGATGTTGTTTTGAGATAAAGCTCTTGAAAAGAAGTTTCCTTTCAATACCACAATTGAAAGAGAGGCAGGTTCAACTGGTGGAATAAGAGTAGGTCCGTAATACAAAAGATGCTGTATGGCCTTGGTAAACCACTTCATCACTCTGTCTTTCTTTACCATCTCATCAATAAGAGGTTTGGATTAAATGATCCAAGAGGCCTCTGCTGTGTCTATTGTTCTATTACTCTAGTGGGTCATCACTTACCCATCAATCCTGGTTTTATAACTATTTTTAAAATTAAAATCTCCTGAAACACTAACTTGCAGTTAAAATCCTTGCTCCATAACATTATATCAAGGAAGGATTGTGGGAATGGCAATGGTAAATAGAAAAAAAGGGATCATCTGATTTTAAACGTTGTCAAATTTGGCATAAGTCATTTTGAAAATATCTTGAACAAATCAGTAAAGTTTTTCTTTCTAAAATTTACAGCTGCTGATATGGGTAATCAAATGCATTTTTAATTTTTTTCCCAAATGACAAATTGGTCGTAAACAAATTTCATATCACCCACCAACCTGCCCATTGATTTGCTCCTCTGGTCAGTGTAATAGGATTTTTTCCTGAAAAAAAAAAAAAAAAAGAAAGAAAGAAATCAGCTGAGTAAAGTCACAGGAAAATAGTGAAACCAGCAAGTGACAACATTCAATTATACTGAGCATTTCAATACTCCAATTTCCACATGCTAAAGAAAGACACGAAATGAACCAGTATAATAGGAAGAACTCTGAATTTGCATTGTTTCAGTTTCAGAATCTAAGTTACTAATAACAAAGACACTTTCATAAATCAATAGATCACTTTTGAATATTTGATTTTTTAATTCTTTTTTGAAAGTTTGTCTTCTGCTACATAATGCATATTAACCAGATCACCTGCCTGTATGTTATATGAAGTCAGCTATTGATCTAAACACATACGTAATGAATATTTATGACTTGGCAAAGAACGTTAAGTTATAACCACTAAAAATTTAGAGGAAAAAAAAGAGGGTCTTTACCCTCAAAAAGCTACTTTTCAGTTGAGGAGACAAGTGATAGTTATAACAAAGTGTGATAATGCAGTAAAACAGAGAGGGCTATGGAAGTACCTATGAAGGGATCTCAATTAGTTTTCATAGATGGAGGAGAAAGGAGACAGGGAAGCTTTCCCAGAGGATGTGTTATCTGTGTTGGATCATGAAGCATGAACGGCAGTAGTTGTCTGAAAGGAGTACTTAGGACATGGCATTTTAGACAGAGGTAGCAGCATATGAAATGGTTATGGGAGCAAGACTAAGCATTGTAAGATTCAGGGGACTTTGACTAATTTGGTAATTGCTGGGGTATAAATTGCAAGTTGAGGATAATAATAAAAGAGGTGAGGGGATGGTGAACAAGGCACAGATGATGAGGGGTCTTACCACTGATGCTAAGGTTTTTGGGTGAAAAGTTATAGGAAGATATTGAGTGTATTAAGTAAGTGTGTAGCATTCTGATTTTAGAGAAACTAAATATTCTAGTGACAGAGGTTAATTCACCTTCTAAAAGATTCTCAAAAAATCCACATCTTGGAGCTCAAGAATCTCATTCAGGGCCTTCTAAAATGCCTCTTTATCCCCACCCACCAAAACCCATTCCAGAGAATCAGAAAACTCCTCCATGGTGTGGTATCTAGAAAGCAGGGCCGAGAGTCAGGACAACTGATATTTAGTCCTGTGTTATTAACTACTTAGAAAACTTGAAAAACCTTCTGAGCTACCATATTTCATTGCAGTCACCAGTCATAATCCTAGAAAAGAATTTTTAAGTTGTCTCTGACATACTCTAACACTAAATTCAGATATGGAGTTTCAAGGTTTGCTCTGTCTAGCCTAAACTCACACTTGAAATATCACCGCCCCCCCTCATTTTATCAAACATACACAGGTTTGTGTGCATTCATCATTCAGTCAACTTGGTGCTTTGTGACCACCTAGAGGGGTGGGATAGGGAGGGTGGGAGGGACGGAGACACAAGAGTGAGGAGATATGGGGATATATGTATATGTATAGCTGATTCACTTTGTGATAAAGCAGAAACTGACACACCATTGTAAAGCAATTATACTCCAATAAAGATGTTAAAAAAAAATCCCTATTGTACTATAAACCCATCTTCTCTCTGAACCTCCTCTACAAAGTACTCTCTTGCACTATTTACCCCGTATTATATAACTGTTCAATGACTATCTTCTATAGGAGACTGGGTTTCTTGAAGACGGTAGCTTCAGTTCATCTGACTTTGTGTATACTTGGCACATTCTTTGGTAAATAGTAAGCATTCCGATGGCTGATGAATAAATGAATGGGCTTTTGTTTAATTCACAGTTGCATTTATTTCCTTCAGTGCCTGAGGGCACTTTGAATTTAATAAACATTTACCAAATAAGGTATCGCTTTAAAAAACTACAAATGTAGAAATTGGTTTAAAATAATTTTCAGCATCAAAAAAATCTAGGAATGTGATTAAGAGGAGATAAAGATTATGGTTATAATGATCAGTTGCAGATATGGTAAGGAATAATATAAAAGAACAAGGTGGCATTTGGATAAAACATTATTCTTTTTATTGCTGCTATTTTGAAATATTTCTCTTAAACATTTTCTTTTTTATTTTTGAAATGCTTTGGGAGAAATAAGAACAAGTGAAGGAAGAAAGTCATACAAGATGAATACACATATTTTTTAAACTGCTTATACTGTAAAAACAAATAAAGTTAAGAGACTCATTTTTCCCAATTAACTAACACCCTAGTTACCAGTCAAATCTAGGATAAACTATGTGTGACAATTAGTGCTGTCGAGTCCTCTTACTTGAGGACTGGTTAGGTTATTGTTTATCTTGAGGACATGCCTGTAATGGGTATATCTGCTTGACTATAGAAGAGGGTGAGATTTCTTTTTGTATTTGCAATCTCAGTGAATTGCCTGTGATGCATGTTGCATTCTGGTTTAATGTTTATTCAGTGATAAAAGGGTTATCTTTCTCTTCTATGTTTGTGGAGAAGTTTCCTTGGTTGGGGGAGATTTTGTTTTTAATTATATTTCCCCAACATATACAAGTGTACCTTTAATTCATGCAGTCAATAATAACTTGCAGTTTTCCTTAGTTCTTCTGCATAAATGAGCCTGCAGGACCAAATTATTTCCTACCCACTATCCTCACTCCATAATTTATTAACTGCATATTGTTCATGGACAGAGCTTTCTTTATTTTCCCTTAATTTTTCATTTGAAAGATTCTTCTATTCTACACCTTGTATCAAGACAGCATTTATCTACCTACCTACTTACCCATCTATTACAACAACCGCTCAAAATTATAAGTAAATGCTTATCTCCATCACTGTTTCCAACCACTGTTTCACACAGCCAGTGGCCACTTGTGGAGATGTCTGTGTGGCCAAATGAGAAGGACAGACGGTCACATGGGTGCAACCCTGGGTCCCTGCTCCTTGTCAAGCAAAGCTACTGCACTGTTATCTATTCTATATATTGGGCTCCCTGTATGTTGTTACATTATTTTATTTTTGAGTGAGATATCCTTTGCATAAAAAAGTGATCTAAGTTTAATCCCAATTGTGATAAAAGATTGTTCTTAATGTTTTAAAAAAGTTTCCCCCAAATTTGCTATGATTAAAATATTTGTGGGAGGAGGAGCTTGAGGAACGATGGAAGGTTGACCCCACCTTTGAACTCAACCTGAGAAGCTACAGGGTGACTGAATCACCTTAAAATATGTTTGACCAATTTAATGTGAGAGAAGGGTAAGAATGAATAAGAGTCACCTTTGAATCAAAAGAAAAGTAATGAATGTGGGAACTGATATTTCTGGAATGTACAAGACACAGCCTAAGTCTTTCTTGATAGAATAAAAACTAGAAAATGTGGACTATTTTAACTCTCTAAAATTTCTTGGTTCGTTTGGAAACATCAAGTCCAATATGCAAGCCATATCTACTTTGGAAAAATAATCAAGAAAAGAAATAGCTAGAAAAATTATGTATACAAAATTCTACACATGCAGAATATCAAGCATAAAATTTAGATAAAATGCTGAAGTTTCATGTTCATACAGTAAGTTACCGGAAAACTTTTGAAGGAAGGGTTATAACTCTAATAATTTTTTTCTGAATAAATTTGCAGCTTTTCTTTCTGAAATGCAATATATAGGTTTCAACACTGAATAAATACATGGAATAGTCAAGCACGGATATGCTTTTATGCATAAATCTTTTAAAAATCTTGTCTTGAAAAAAGATATGTATTTTTCCTATTTAAGTTCTTTTGTTATTCTTGCATATTTTACTTTTAAGACAATATATATGTTCCTAAATAAGATAACAGTTGACATTTGGAAAATGAATTGGTAATCATGAAAACACTTTGCCACTTATTCTATGCTTGAATAACATTCTCTTTTTATGAGCTGACTGCTATCCCAAATTTTAGGTGTACCTTATAAATAAATCAGAAGTTGGTTACTAAGGAGTTAGTTAATGCTACATCTATTATTTAAACTGATCTGTAAATATGTTCTAAAAGAACTCTGAGTTCCAGCATTTCTCAAACTGTTTTCCCATGAACATCATCATATTAAGATTTTAAAAAATCCATCATCAGATGGAAATTAAGGAAAGACTTCTCTGTGTAACTGTTGGAATTTATTAAAATTATAAGAATTATTAAAATGTTAAAAATCTTCAAGACAATATTTCTCTATCAACTGTAACAGAATCACTTGGGATGCTTGTTAAAAGTACCCAATCTTATCCCTGACCTAATATGCCAGAATCTCTGGATGTAGGTTCTAGGGACCTTCATTTTTACTAAGTTTCCCAGGTGATTCTGATGTATTCTGAAGACTGAGAACCACTTCTCTAAAAATTACTACAGTAAATAAACTTATTGTTTAACTTAGAAATTCAGGAACATATTTGGTCACAGGATATTTTTCTTTTACATCCTCTGGAACCAGTGTTCCTTTGACAAACTTTGGGGAAAAGCTGTATATTTTCTAATATTTGTATTATTAAATCAAAAGAATCACAATGGCATTTTCCAAATTTTCAGTAATGTGGAAATTGTGGACGTTATCTTGAAAACCATATTATAAAGAAGAAATTTGAGCCACATCATCAATAAAAAGAGACAGTAACTGTATACATTTCATGGTTTTCATATTTCTTTCTTTGGATGTATCAGAACTCTTCTTTCAAATGCAATCTTACCAGAAAATAAAAATGACTATCATTTATAAAAAGCAAAACCATCAACTGAAGAAAACATCTTACTCAAAAACTCCGTTTTAATAGAAGGACACTATGGCACACAGATTGGAGACCTAGGATCTAATTTATACAAACTAGAGACACAGTCTGGTAAGGGAATTGTTTTTAATGAACTGCTAAGTTAAAGACACAAATAATTAAATTTGATACAGATTTTTTAAAAAAACAAAGTTATGAGAATATTGATTATTCTTTCAGAGTTCCTCAAAATTTATCTGAAAAAGTCAAGAGTAAGGGAAATGAGAGAAAAAAGGTCAATGTGCTCTAACAGACTTTCAATTTTTAAAATTAATAAAATCCAACTGAGATGGTGGAATGAGCTGTATGAAATGTGTGATGCTGTAGATTCTGTTGCCATCGTCTTTGTAAGACTTTTCCCCTATAAACTACAGCAGAATGGACATACTTTGAAAGTATATTGACAAAGAAAGGAAAACCATCTTTGAAATTATGAATGTCAAATATTTGGTGTAAAGCAAACATGTTAACCAACATTTACTTTTTCATTGAATGCAAGTATAATTTCAAATTAATAATGTGTCTTTGCCAGGGACTAAGAATCAAATGATGACAAATTCCCCCTTGGATAGCAAAAAAGGATTCAATCTTTCGGACCCCTGGCAAACAAGTGCTTTGTATAAAGTCCAGAGGAGATAAGTGGAAGATATGCTCCTTTTTTTGATGGAATATTTTAATACAATGTTCAGTTAATCTGAAGAGAACCTGAATACTGAAATCCACTGAAATGGCACGCTTTGTGATAGTCTCTAAGGGTTTCCTCCTTTTAGATCTACAAGGAAATTAGTTTGTGCAAAAATTCAACTATACCTCTGCTCAGAAACAATGGTGAAATCACAGGAATAGGGGCAGGATAAAGGTATGTGAAATCAGGCTTAATTTGGAATTTTTTAGCAGTTTCACCCTGGTATCAGAAAGTAGGTTATTGTCTTGGGTGTGACACTTCTTTTGCATCTTTGTTTATATCCTGCAGTCAAAATAGAACTTGTTTAAAATAATTTTGTAAGAATGCAAACAAATAAAATAATAGGGACCCACAATCCCACCCATCAGAAGCAAACATGTTTAGCATATTATATTTTCTTCCAATTTTATTTCTATTCATTTTACATTGTTGAAATCTCATTGTATGAATACATGCATATCCTTCACATTTTATTTAAATTTATTTATTATTTCACTACAATCATTAATAAATCCTTGTACCCATTTGTTTTATAAATGAATTATATTGCATTGCAAGGGTATATATAAATTATTTAAATCCTCTACCATTGAACATAGGAGATATTTCCATTTTTCATAATTATAAATAGTACTTCAGGGAATGTTTTTACATATTTTTCAATTATCTTCTTAAGATAAAAAGTGGTTATGAAGTCAGAAAGAGAAAGACAAATACCGTATGCTAACACATATATATGGAATTTACGAAAAAAAAATGTCATGAAGAATCTAGGGGTAAGACAGGAATAAAGACACAGACCTACTGGAGAACGGACTTGAGGATATGGGGAGGGGGAAGGGTGAGCTGTGACAGGGCGAGAGAGAGGCATGGACATATATACACTAACAAACGTAAGGTAGATAGCTAGTGGGAAGCAGCCGCATGGCACAGGGATATCAGGTCGGTGCTTTGTGACCGCCTGGAGGGGTGGGATAGGGAGGGTGGGAGGGAGGGAGACGCAAGAGGGAAGAGATATGGGGACATATGTATATGTATAACTGATTCACTTTGTTATAAAGCAGAAACTAACACACCATTGTAAAGCAATTATACCCCAATAAAGATGTTAAAAAAAAAAAGTGGTTATGAAAAGTTTTAAGTCTCACAGAAAATAATTTTAAATTCAGTTTCAGACTATTTTATGGAATTTGATTCTCACCATAAATCAACAGAGGTGATTATTCACCATATCTAGGCGAGGTTTGAAGAGTACTACTTGTGAAAGTCTTTGATGATTTCATAAGTTAAAATGAAACTCATTGTTTTAATTCTGCATGATTTTGTGTAGCATGCATATATACAGACCAAACAAGAAGAAAGCAGATAGAGCAAAGGCAAGTATTCTCCCATTATCAGCTTGTAATAAGTCACAGGCATGTATTTCACAAGACTTTTTAGGAGACGTAGTGTCAG